AAAAATATCTCTAAACAATTAGAAATCAGCCAGTCCACTGTCTGGAAAATAATCTACAAGTGGAGAATATTTAAAACAACTGCCAACATAGCCAGGTCAGGCCGTCCTAGCAAGTTCAGCCCAAAAGCAGACCGTAAGATGTGTAAAGAAGTCTCTGACAATCTTAAAATGTCATTATGTAGAATGTGCAGTAGATGGTTCTATATTAAACCTCTTTGGAAAGGTTTCTATGTAGAACCTTATTCAGCAGATCTCCATCACTCTGAAGAATGCTTTCACAATACAAAACTCTTTGATCATGCAAAACGTTCTTTGAGTGCTCGTGGTTCTATATAGAACCATTTTTAATGAAAAACCTTTAAAGAACTATACTCTTTTCAAACAATTTGTGTATGTTTTTTTTTGTTTTGTTTTTTAAATAGTGTGTGTATATTGTTTCAAAGATCAAATATTGATATGTCCATGTTTCGTAATAAGAATCAAATGTTTAATGGGGTTGTTTTCAGTCCTTTTCTCCACATATAAGCTTTTCAGCTCGTCAGTCTGTCACTGCTGCTGGTCCTTCTCCTTCTCTGTTCCCTCTCTGTCTTTTAAAGGCACTCATGCTGCCGACGCCATATCACGTGAGCTCTTGAGCCGAGAGGGACAGAGTTTGTTGCTCTGCCTCTCTATCACTACCCCTGCTTCACATCTTGGCCGCCAGGATCCAGCACTTGAGTTGTTGCACAACTTATACTTCCCTACTGATACAAAACTTATGGAGTATGAAACAGTACTTTCTTAAAGTATGTTCAAACATATGAACTTATGTTTCATAATTTGAGAGACTTCTATCGATAGGGCATTATAGGATTTTCAATAAATCAAGTAAAGTAAAAAATTATAGGGCAGTCAGACAGAGGACAGCACCCTGATGTCAGGGCCATTAGCAGACTGGTCTAAAAAGCGATATCCACACTTAAAATGTGCTCTATAAAATGTGGAACATGAACATTTTCCTAAACTGATATAATCATACTGATTTTTCCCATTAAAATAACCAATATGGCATAAATAGCTCTTATTATTTCTATACACCTATTTACAGAAAGAGAAAGAAAGGGTTAAAACATGTTTGGTTACAGAAACACTCATCTTAACATGACAGAATAGATCTTCCTAATATTATGTAACTTAGTTTCAGATTGGCCCAGAGTGATCTTTATCTTTTTAAAGGAATAGTTGAGCAAACAATTAAATTAACATGATTTATCGCTTACCCCAGATGTGGACGATCACCCAAGAGGTGCTTTTTCCTTCTTCTGAAGGAGGTTCAGCAGGAAAGAGTACGGAGCTAAATTGATGCTGTCTGCTGTAAAGACACTCTTTATCAGGCAATTATTAGACTTACTGGGGAGGCTTGGAATGGTGGCAGGAGTACTTCTGGTATTCCATGTATGCCTAAAGCTTTGGCAGTGGCTTTTGTCTTTGGCTTTTGCTGCCATTGTCCTCTCAGTGCTGACAAAATGTCCAATGTTTGACCTTTATAACTAACAAAAATATTTTTTTTCAACAGGAGCCAATCATTTTAAAAAAGACAGTGAAAAAACATGGCGAGAGTCGCATAAAAACGCACACGTTTTCATTATTGCAGACTGCTCCTAAGGAAACTCCCTCAGCTCATGCAGTGTCTCATGCAAGCGAAAAAACAGCCGAGAAAGAATTCAAAGAGCTTAAAATTGAATTCAGCACAGCCTACATGATAGCATGTAAAGAACTAATCTTTACCAAATTCATCTCCCAAACCTTGTTAATGAAAAATAGCAGACCAGATGTGTCGAGAATCAGGCACAGTGGAAGGCAGAGATACTTAAAATGGAATTCCACAGATTTTTCTAAATGTCTGTGCAAATCAGTGGTTGAGATACAAACTGGCATTCAGATTTAATGTGAAATGGTTCATTTGCAAAGAACTTACAGATTCATGTCTTTACAGTGATTGTGATAGAAACCAGGACTCCTTATGTCTACAATGCAAACGTAGCCATTTTATTTACTATCCAAAACCACCAGTGAACCTACACGTGTCTTCTGAGTTTTTATGTAACGTTGATGATGGTAAAACAGTGGTAAATCTGAAACTTCTTTGGGGACTGTTTTACCTTAGAATACCCTTCATGTATTCCTCCACCATGAATAGATTAATTGATTAAAATACATTTAAACCAAAACTTTATCACAAAGTTGCTGTAAAACAATGTTTCGGACATCCGGCAGTGTATACATAATCATTGCACATAATACCTTCCTGGGACGAAGCTTTTAGACACATTTAACTCTTCAGAAGTCTGATTCCGATCATGACCTGACTCTGTCTCTCTAGAACAAAGCGTTTCATACCAAATCACTCTGCGTGAATTTGTTGACATGTTAACCATTTAATTATGCAGAAAATTTGAAAAATCTGTGGAATTCCCCTTTAAATCACAGAGCTAACCTGAGGTGTGTTGAAAAGCCTTATTTTCCTGCATATTATTATTTGGCACTTTAAAAACAGCTACTGGTGCCTGATCCTTTTAGGAGCCAGTGGCTCCTCAAGCTATTTTTTTGTCTGGAGCCCTGTAATGAGATATTCTTGGACTTAACGCCTCAATAAATAGAACAAACAATGATGGACTTATTGAGCAGCCCTGTCTAGTCCCTCACTCCAGACTAAAGGTTCTTGATATGGCTGTTTATTTTAACTATTGCCCTTGGGTCACTGTACAATGCTTGAATAGTTTTAACAAAGGTCTAGTGGAATCCAAACTTTTACCGCGTAGAGAAGCGGTATTGAAAATTAGCACTGTCTCTCACCATTATTTTCTGCATTGTTTAACGTTCTTGGAGGAAATATCTTTCATAGAAAATGTATTTATCAAAGGTCCCAACGCCGAAATGTCTGGAATTGTTCCTTGAATCTTTAATTAGAGCCTGTGTTCTCCTGTTGTCTTCGTTTTTCCGCTGAGACGCGAAGTTAGCAGGCTGATTTGGTCGAGAAGTTGGATGCTTCAGATATCGGTATCCCCCTCTCTGTCATGTCCCTCATTGCTTCCTCTGCCGAGCTGTAAACCACCATACCATCTTTGTAAAACACTCTGAGGCTGACTGTAAATGGAGTCTGGAATTTTATATTTCGTTCCTTGAGCGCAGCTTTCGCTTCTGCATATTTCCTCCGCTTCCTCAGCAACTCAGGTGCATAATCATTGTCCAGATGTATCCTTTTTCCTTGGAATTCAAATCCTTTTTCTGCCAAGCTCTTTTAAGCATGTCCTCGTTTCATTCTGTAGCCTCGTTGTTGTGTTTTTTTTTTTTTTGTTTTGTTTTTTTTTTTTTTTAGATAGACTGTAAAGAGCCATTTTGTCACCGCCTGCTTTTGACTACAGTGCACAGTGTGGCATGTTTGCTAAGTTCTTGGTGAGCAGCATGTTATTTTGAATGAAACAGCTTTATTGCTAATTGACAGAGCGGTGTGTAGGTGCTGCTTTTCACATAGCATGTACTGAGGGTTTTCCTACTGTGTCAGTAAATAAATTGTAAGCTTTGTCTGTACGTGATGGTCTATTCAAAGTCACCAAAGAAAAGGTTTATTGAAATTGCACATGGTGTGTCTGGCTTTAGGGGACATTCACTTAAAGCTCAACCAGTCAATCAAAAATTCAAGCAAGACATAAAACTTGTGAGACTTAACTAGTGGGCTCCTTGGATTACCCACGATTATGATTTATGCTGTCACTGTGCTAGAAAGACTGTTGTTGAGATCGATTCTATGGATTCTATGAAATGTCATCTATGAAACATACTTTACTTAAGGATATACAGAAGTGCTTTTCTGAAGTGGAACAAAATCTGCTCCACTGCAGCGCTACTTAAGCCAAGGTAACTAATGTAGCATAGCTAGCTAATGCATGTCATTTAAAATCAGCTAGGTTTTAAAAATTTTACTGTTAATGTATATTGCACTTATTTACATTAACAACTACTTAAAATCAAGTAGGTCACTCAGTATAGTGTTGGCGAGTAGTAAATACATGTACAAAAATGGTTTGGATGCATCACTAGTTTAAAGTGACCAGTGACTTTGTGTCTGATCGCCACAGTGTCAGTAACACTTGTCTGTGCGAGCAGACCCTTTTTCACTGGCAGGTTCAGCCGCAGATTCAGCTGCAGCATACGCTATGCACACATCACACCATGTCAAGTGGTACCGGATTTTGGTATCGGTGCATTTTTATTTTTAGAATGAGTACAAGTAAATGAGTGAAGTATGGAGCCCATATCGGTATCAATGCATTCTTATTATTTATTACAGAAATCTGGCTAGCATAAGTCCTATTATGATGTCATGAAATTCATGAAAAATCATAATAAATCTATAGATAATTCATAGTGATTGTAATAAAGGGATACTCACTGGTTTATTTTATTTCATCTGTTACAATCAAGACCTCTGACCATCACCAGCTTTAATCAATATCCATGCCAAATTTAAAGTCAGTTCCTCTTTTTAAGGTCAGTTCTTGGGGTCTGATGCTGCGCATGGTTTTAAATTTGTAAGTCTGTTGTATGTGAAATATTACAACAGTAAGGGACAGAAGACAAACACCAAAACAAAGCTAAGCAATGTTGTCATTAGCATACTGTACTTAATTACCATTAAATCATTGTTATATTGCATAATGTTATACAGCATGTTAAGCTTCACATGAGCTCCAGGTACACCGTCCAGTTGGTTACATATTACAGTGTGACTTACAATGTGTATAAAAATGAAAAAGTAGAATGTTCAGGTTTAACATTTTTTTTTAATGGATTTATAAGAATGCTGATAAAATGGAAAATGAATTATTTAGTTCTGTGCACATACAATAAGTCTCAAATTCAAGGATAATTTGTATAGAACACTCAAACACACAAACTTTGACTGATTTGAGTTGATTTAATTTTGAAAGCTAATGTATCTGTCTTGTCTCTTAAAACAGGTCTCTTGACAAAATGGGTCGCCACTTTGGAGATTTGGCCAAGATAAGACACATAATCACTTACAGCATCTCCCCCTTTGAGCAAAGGGCCTTCCCCAACTACTTTTCAAAGGGAATTCCCAACGTTTGGAGACGATTCACAGCATCCATCTTCAAGATTGCACCGCGTAAGTGCTCTCCTATCAGTACTTTCAAAAGCATGCACACTGAACAGAAGTAGAAATAAATGTTTTAGTGAGCCATCGACACAGCAGGGTAGAGCACCACCTTTGTGTATACTTTGACTCATTTACTTGTACTTTTGTCTTCAATCAATAGTCACAAAACCCATACATTGACACATTTTGGTTTGACTCGCCAGCTCCATGTGGTTCAGATCAGTACTTGCTTTAGATGCTGTAGAGAAGACTTGGCACACTGGGCACCAGCCTAAAGCAGTTTACAGTAATGGCCTTCGGCCTCCATAATGCACACTGGCCACAAACTTCCTTTGCATAAATTTTCTGGGGCACATGGTAAGCAGCGCAGGAGTGGAAACAGACCTGGGAAAGGTGGATGGAGTGTGGCAGTGGCCCAGAGTGAGCTTTGAAACCTCCTTGGTCTGGCCTCATACTACTGGCGCTTATTGTGTCGGTTCACTGGTAACAATCCTTCATTAGTCCCACAATGGGGAAATTCAGCAGCAAAGGGATAGCAACAAGCAAATTAATTGCTGCAGGTTCATCGTGGACACATACCAGCGACAAAAGCATGGGCCCTGTCCTCTCACAAGTACAGGATGAGAATGAGAGTTGTTGAGCAAGCCGGAGCATAGTAACTGCTTGACACAGAGGGAGCTGCTGGGGCCGCGTCACTTCCGCCTATACCTGTACAAAGCAGATCAGCTCATTAGGAACGACCATGGCATGGCCAGTGTTAGCCAAAATAGGGCATATCACTGACGCTGCCAGGGACAGCTCTATTCACCTGGGCCACAGGTGTGGCTGTACAACACCTGCTATAGAAAGGGATACAGTCATAGTGGAAGGGCTCCTGCATGGTAAAAGTGTGGTGCACTGACAGACAGAAGGACCTGCTGCACCAGAGACAGTAGAGTGTTTTAGCTATGTTTTACTTGATGATGCCGTAGTTAAGTAGTGTGGATTTTGTGTTAACCAGAGTGGAGGTAGATGGCATTCAGCTAATTTTGTCACCATTCTGGCTGTTTTTCACTGGTCTTTTCTGCTTGTTCTAATGAAAATGTAAATCCTTGAGGAGAAATAATGGCATCCTTTCCATTTTTCTTCACCGCCACAGTATCATACTTTGCTAGATGTTAATGTTCCATGGGGCTTTACAAAAGGAAGTCTCCTGTGATCACAATTGATTTTATTGTTGACCATGTTGTTGATTTGCCACAGACATCGTTTGATATCCAGAGCACCTTAGACACAAAGTGTGGCATACTGAGTTTTTAGCTTGCAGGAGTTGTTTGCAGATCTTTGCAAAATGGGATCATGTGTTATCATGCCAAAACATTCAATGGTGGTGGTGGCAGATGAGGCACATGATGGTGTATTATAACTTTTGCTGACTCATTATGCTGTGTAACAGAACTTTATTGGCATACTTTTTGTAATGATCATGCTGTTGAATGAATCTTCGGTATGCCATCTAAGTCACATGCAGATGGTTTATCTTAGCAAAGGAGGCATGCATACAAAGTATTGCAATTTAGAACATGGGCACATATTGTGCATGAGCTTTAAGTTAGGAGGCTTCTTGTCTAGAACTGTTGTTACTTCATACTGTAGAAGAAAGTGAAGAAGTGGTATCTCATTGAGTAATTATTCTTCCTTTCTCTCTCACAGCCATGATTTTGATGTACCTCACCTACACTTGGGGCAATCATATTCATGAGCAGAGCAAGAGGAAGAACATTACAGACTTGGAAAATGAGAAGTGAAGCCTGTCAATGTTCAGTGTTTGTCTATATCAATAAAGAAAATAATTAAACCATTCTCATCCTGTCTCATTATTTTTTGTCCTGAAAGAGGTTTAATGACTGTCTAGAATATTTAGGTAGTCACAAATTCAGCAGATATTTAGTAGTTAGAAATTCAGTATATGTTTATCCTTCTTTTGCTTTTTTGCTTCTTTCATTTCATACTCAAATCTGACGTTTCCACACATCACTACATATATTCCTTCAAAGTAAAAACATTACTTTTAATTTTGATTAATCTACTCGTAAAACGTTGTTCCGTCGCATCAAGTGACCTGATGCGTGACAACAGGTAAGCCTCCAGAGGATCAAAAACTAAAAGCTGGTAAGTTATGATTATGTTCAGTGTGGATAATTTGTTGTTATTTCTCTTGGACAGCCTAATCTAATGAGCGCAGAATTACAGAAACTACGGATCATATACCAACACCAAAAAGTGTATTATCGGTAACCAGTGGTCTAATTCCTCACCTGGTGGCACTCGATAAGCACGTATTTCGAAGCTAATGGCCACACAGCGAAGACGGGTAAGAATACCCTGCTTTTAGCTGCAACAAGGTCTCACAAACATTAGTACACATACGACGAAAAGACAAGCCCAGATATTCGTAACACAGACAATTTATGAATCGTAGTTATTTTACAATCAGTCTTAAGCTCCAGCAGTTGCGTGGGTATGCGCACAACGAGCTCCCGTCCACTAGTAGCGCTGTTTCGGTAAATCCACACAACCTGTCTGTCACATTATGAAGAAGAATTAAATAAAGCGCGCCCTAAAACGTAAGAATCACGCTCATGTTTGTGTGATGTTTATATGTAGATACAGCCGTGTGGTTGGTGATGCGCAGAGAACCTGCTGATGTGAGTTTTTCCTCTGGTTTTATAAAGCTTATTTCATTTAATAGTCTATTCAGGGGATCTTCACTTGATATAGTAGTTATTTATTTACACTGATGGTTAATGCTTTGTAACTAAATTATAGCACTCCTTAATCCGTGTAGATTTTCATAATAGATTAACGTTAGCACCTTATTACACGAACCTGAAGTTAGCTTCTTGTTCGAATTTTCCCGTTCCACCTTAAATGGTGCAGTTTCAGGCACCAGAAAGTGACTACTGCAACATTTAAGGTGGAACTTGAACAAGAAGCTGGCAAATAGGAAGCCAATTTTAGCTTCGTCCTTCCGTGTATTAAGATGAGAAGTGATTCACACACTGATGGATTTGCTGATTGTGTTTTTACTGGAGCTCGCGCTAAACTCACGTCAGGTGCAGACTGAATAATTTCCTCCGGACGGCTAATTAGAACGATCAGTTATTAAAGAAATAAAAGCTACCGACAGCAGTCCGTGCAACCTAGATTAAATTATGTCTGAGGATTATAACAAATCTGGTGAAATCTGTGGCCGATTTAATCCTAAAACACATCATCTCTCAATACAAGTGAATTTGTTCATAAGCGGACGTTGACCGCTCCAACATGGCGGACGCGCAGACGCGTCGCCTCACATAGAGTACAACAAGCAACGCGGCATCTAACTATGTCTATCTATGGTCTGCCCTATGGAGGATTTCCTGTTTGCGTCACAGCACCGCTGTTCCCCTTACCGCTGCGTCACGAAACGCCGCTCCTGTGAGTTCTTTTAAAGTTCTTTAAAGATGGAGCCAGAAACTTTGATTTTAGTATTTTAGCCTGGCCACTTCCTATTCCCGCCGTTATATCAAAAACAGGACTGCTAAACAGAGGGCGCTCGCGAGTGAGTCCTCAATGAATGGGAGTAAATGGCGCTCAACAGCTAAAAACAAAAAGTTAATAGTTTCTAATCACTTGCCCAGAACGTTTCTTTAATTTTATAAAGTAGAAGAATGTATTTCACTAAAAAAAGCAAAGAAAAATCACATATATTTTCTTTTTTCTACAGCAAACGGGTTTTGGGCAGCAGAAGGCGGGCTTTACTGCTAGAGCGTGATGATTGATTGGCGAGCGGAGCAGGTCATTGGCTGTTCGCGCGCACTGACGTCATGTACATACATGAGGTGCCGTTTTAAACTCCTATAACTCGAGTTTTAAAGCTCTTAAATATAACAGCACTGTTAAAATGTTTTATGATATTCAGTGTTCATGAAATATTTACGCATTTATAAACTATGATTTTGCTCAAATGCTCCATACCAACCCATTCATTTTGGACTCACTCGGGAGCTCCCTCTAGCGTTTGAGAAAACCGGAAGGCACTGCAGAGTGGTAATTCTCCTCTCTACAAGTTCTCTGTGGAGCCTTCGAAATGGGACAGCCTAGTCGCCGCCTCTGTGACGCAGTCGGCCTTCAAATGCAGCCTCCGAAGGACGCAGCCCCTGAAATGGGATGCAGCTTTTGTGGGAGAAAATTATCTCAGGTCTGCTAGTACTTCTCTGCAAAGTGGAATACACAAGTATTTAAGCATTTAAAATGTGAATCCAAACCATAGGAAGTGAAATTGTTCTGTTTCAATGGAACTTAACACTTCTAGGGGGCTAGTAAACATCACTTCACAGAAAGCTGCAGACATGTTTACTCATCAGTGCACACCTCGTAGCACCTGATGATGTTGCAGGGCATTCTGAACGAAGGTATTTAATTAACTGCAATTCACTTAACTCCTATGTTTCCACGCCTGGTTATGGAGTAGCCACAGGCTTTCACATTTCTGTTTTCCAGCTCAAACACATCCAGTTCAACATGGGAAGGGTTTATTAATTCACTAATTACCCAGATTAGGTGTGTTGTAGCAGGGCAAACACAAAAACACTAATAGAAACATAAAAATAGGCAGAGAGTTCTCCAAGATCAGGGTTATGAATCACTGACATCTGTGCTCAGCTTGTAGGGCAGGACACTACACTAATATTTTTGTGCTTTCTTGCATCTAGCACACCTAATTCAACTCAATAACTAATAATGGGCTGGGTCAGGTATGCAGAGTAAGGCAAACACAAAACCAAAATTGGGAACCACCGGTATAGGGAATATAGGGCAGGGATTTCACACTCTGGTCCTGTAGCCCCCCTGCTCTGGATTTTAGTGTTTTCCATGCTTCCAAAACACCTACTTCAACCAATCAGATAATTGACAAGCCCTTCCTGAGTTGAAATGGTTGTTTTAGAACAGGGAAAATGGACAGGGGGCTTCAGGATCTGGGCTGGGAACCCTGATATAAGGATTTTGCTTTGGAACACTAAATGGAATGCAGTTAAAGTGTAAATTAGAAATCATTATGTTAAAAAATTAAATGTGTGCATTTTGCTACTGAGGTATTAGTAGCATAATTATTTTTTTCTGTTTTACAAATACAGGCAAAAAAATCCAGCTAAAATAGTTAAAAAAAAAAAAAAGGGACCATTTGGTGCTTTATAGAACCATTTTAAAAGATTCTTCAAAGAGGTTATACAATATTTTTTCCATCTATCCAAAGAACTGTTTTATTAGGCAAAGAACCATTTAAAGCATTTAAATGTTTCCTTGAGCTGTTCTATGTAGCTTTAGTAAAGAATCCTTGAAGAGCCCCTGTGTTGGAACTGACCTTTGTAGGATGGTAAATCTCTTATAGGGATGTTGATTGGTTTTGATGATTGCTGTCAAAAGTATTGTATTAATTTACTGACAATTTTTTTCTTTTTAGTTGGGAAGTCAACGCATGGCAATGAGCTTGTCTCCACAGTAGATCATGTTGACCTACCTGGTAACTTCAGTTTATTTTTTGTTTAAAGAGTGTATGCATTTTAAAGGATTGCAAAGAAAATCTAATAAAAAAAAAAAAAGTTTTAAGTAACACATTCAAGAATTTACCTGTAAAACTCTAACTGTTCTTTTAAAGCTTCAAGTTTTGGTAACAGATTTCATCTAGTACCTTTCATGGAAATTTAGAATTGGTGGTGATCTACCTAAGTTTTAGCCTGCCATTTGGTTGTTGTTGAATGACAATCAGTTCGCTTCAGTATTTTATGCAGTGTTGCATGTGTGTTTATTTATCACATACTCTCTATTCTCACTACTGTCCCTCACTACTGATGGTCCCTCACTACTGATGGATGAGATTGGGGGATACAGTTAATAAATGTAATTACAAAGTGCACATGTATGGTTGGTCTTTTTGGTAAAAACAACATTTAGTAAAGGTAGGTGTACCTACCTGCCTAATTTTTTATTTTTATTTATTTTTTATTATTACTGGAGATCCTTTTGAACGACTGCAAGAAATTGTTGGGATGATTTCTGAGCCAGTTCAGCCCTGTTCATCTGAGTGGAATGTAAGGCAGTCTTCCACCAAAGAAAGATGGTAGGCTGCCAGACCACAGTTGATCAACAGTGCGTACGCTGCTGAAGACGTATTATCATGTGAGTGCTACTATTGTGACCATACAGCTGTGTGTCTTCCCTAACCTTTTTATTGTGAAGAATGTGATGCCAACCACCACATGCTTCAGGTTTTACACAATAGTGAAGTAATGCTGGAGGGTCCCAGCCCATTTCTCCAACAATCAGGATTGAGAGGGGCAGTGATGGAAACTATAAAATTACTGAGAGAGGTAAATATGCGCCAGCAGGGGCTACAGCTCTAAACAAGTATTTTTGAAATTAAGTTTGTGACACCATTGACAGACTGGAAACTTTATTCAAGAAAACATAGGCATGTTTGTCATATGATCGTGACCAGTGTTGGCTTTCTCAATTATGAAGAACAGTGCCTTGAATTTTTTTTGTAGTTGAGCTGTGTGTTTGCATATTTGGTATATTTATATATTTGGAAGCAATTACTAGTTGTGCAAATATATTATGCATTCTTATTCTATAAGGCCCGATAAACCTGCTAATATGCATGTGATCCAACAGCTTGTCTCCTCTCAGTTGTTTTACCAGGGTCAATCTGCTCATGTGGATCAGATTTGCTCCAAGTGACCCCTGGAAGATATGTAATTCTGATAATAATGAATGGTATGTGTGTTGAATGTGGTAAATGCTCCTCATCTAATGCAGTTGCATTTCATTCCTATAGTATTCCAGAGGTACCCTCATTACATTGCATTTCAGAACATTATGAAGCAAGAATTATATTGTCTTTTTTTTTTAGGCTGTTGTTCCCTCCCTTAGCTGTTCACGTTCTGGTGCCTGCGTTGTGATCCTTGGTGTCAAGGATCTGTTGAAGAGTGGTCTGTGGCCAGCATCCATGCAGTATCAAACTGCGTACTCCAGAGACGTGTTTTTATCCTTTGAAGATGCAAAGGTTTTTGCTCCTGGATTGTCTCGACATGCTTTCATAAAATTTCTAGAGCAAAGGTCTCTGTGATATGGAAGGGTAAATGGTCAGTTTTCTTTTGTATGTTAATGCCCTGAAGCTGACTTCATCTTTTAGTCAGTAATATCATCTTCGGTAATGTATATTGTGCTTATTTTTGTTCTTTTGTAACTAATGCAACTTTCACTAATGTTTAGAATTTTGTAATGTGCACTCTTAAAGAACACTTCAGTAACCATCTTTAGTAAAGACGATGGTTCTATGTAGAATCATGAACACTCACAGAACACATTCTCCACTAATCTGAAGAACGCTTTCACAATGCAAAGAACTCTTTAAGCATTCAAATGGTTCTTTGAGTGTTCATGAAGTTATGTAGGCTTAATATATATCATGGTGAGATGTTAGCATACCCCCTCTTCTTGCAAAAAGACCTTGCCAGAAAACACAATATAACCTTGTGGCCATATTTGGAAAAGGCTGCAGTGAGGTTTACCGAACTACAGAACCTACTAAATATGAAACCATTTCTCTCAGCTTTGCATGCAAAGGCACACTCATCACAATGTGAGATATGTCTGTAAATGTATTATACATCTTGAAACCTTTGAAGACAGATTGTGCGCCTACCTGTTTAGAACCTGCAAACAGATGTCTGCAATGCCCTGCACTTGCTGCAGATTTACTTTTGTTTTCATTCATTTGTGCTATCTTTTAAGTGGATTATAAGTAAATCCCACGTACTAATAATACTTTTTTTTTCTTAAACGTGTTCTAGATACAGAGTTCATATATCCTAGTCCCACTTATCTAAATTGTATCCAAATGTCAGCAATCAGTGTCATGTGATGTAATGTTAGTATGAATCCCTCTGTTGCAATATTTGGATTTTCCACTGATTTGCCCTCACCCACTGGAGTTCAGTCAGATATTCTTGCATTCACATCTTTATTAGCGAGATGTTGTATTTTATTATTGTGGAAGTCCTTAAAATCACCTTCAGTCGTATTATGGCTCCGTGATGTTATGCATTTTCATAAATTGGAGAAGATTAGATTAACGATAAAAGGTAATACTGCTGCATTTTATGCTAAATGGAACTCTTTTCTTTAGTATTTTGATGCACTCCAGGTTATGCCGGCAGATTGATTTTTTTTTTTTTCTTCCCTCTTCCCCATTCAAAGATAAGGTTGTTTTTATTGTTGTAATGTTTGGAAAGTCTGTGTTGGCTGTGAAAGGTGTGTCTGTGTGCGCGAGTGTGTGTGTGTGTGTGTGTGTGTGGTGCTGTGGGGTAAATGTAATTATAAAAACTGAGGTTGCCAGTGAATTGAGCTATTGGAGGCTATCCATCGTTTATTCTACTGTTTATCATCCTGTTTTTCTCCACTCATCAGATGTTTGTTTCCTAAAAAAAAGTGTTCTAGAGAGGTTCTAAGAAAAAGTCTACACCAGATTCATGACATGCTCTTAAACCACAGAACTGTTCATACCTTTGTGCTCTTGAGTGTGCACAGATTCTGCTCTTACCTAAGAACAAATCACAAAATAAGAAAACATTGATGAATGTCAGAATCTTAGGGAAAACTGTGTAAGTGGGTTGTAAGAAAAAAAATCTTCTTAAGAACAGCTGGTGAATGAGTCCCAATGTGTTCTTTTAATTGGTATCCAGATTGTTTGGGGTGGAAGGAACCAGGCAGGCGCTGGAACAACCAAGGGTGAAGAGGTATCATTAATGCAAAAGTCCCTTTTATGATTGTAACTGAATTCAAAACGTCTTCCGATATAACGTTTGCCCTTTTTATTTGTCACAGGTAGAGCAGGTGAACAGCTACATGCCACGTGTGGCCCTTACCACCAAACATATGAGCAAAGAAGGCAAGTAGTCAGAACGCAAGGATTTCATTTTATTTAAATATGGACATCTTAAGGTTGTTGTTGTTGTTGTATGCATGTTTTATTTTTGTTTCTTCCTCGCTACAGTGAGGACTGTCATGGTTACTATTCATGTCATGAGGTGGAACTTGAGGAAGGTAGATGCATTGCACACATCACTATTTCAAAGATATCCGAAGGTACTCCTATTAAATGATGAAATAAATTTCCTACGTGATCAAACATGTCAGGTAGCTTTTGCTTTTGAAGTCACTCAGTGCAGTTGATAATGCAATCTTCAGAATTTCATACTTCCTGGGTCTGTAAAATTTTATGGAATATGCACTGTTTATACATAAAGTGCTAATTCAGTGAACACTCTAACTTGCACAGTTTTACCCCATAAGTGTTTAATCAGCCAAGACATATTGGTGCCTACATACACTATATAGACAAAAGTATTGGGACACCTACAAATTACACCAACAGGAGCTTTTATGCCACTCCATTCACTCCATAGGCATTAATTTGGAGTTGGTCCCCCCTTTGCAGCTATAACAGCTTCCACTTTTCTGGGAAGCTTTCTACAAGATTTCGGAGGGTGTCTGTGGGAATTTTTGCCCTTTCATCCAGAAGAGCATTTGTGAGGTCAGACACTGATGTTTGACAGGAGGGCCTGGCACGCAATCTTTGTTCTAGTTCATCCCAACGGTGTTCGATGGGGTTGAGATCAGGGCTATGTGAGGGTCAGTCAAGTTCTTCCATACCAAACTCATCCAGCCATGCCTTTATGGACCTTGCTTTGTGCACTGGGGCACAGTCATGCTAGAACAGAAAAAGGCACAACTGTTCCCACAAAGTTGGAAGCATACAGTTGTCCAAAATGTCTTCGTGTGCTGAAGCATTTTCCTTCACTGGAACTAAGGGGCCTCGGCCAACCCCTGGCATTATCCCTTCTCCACCAAACTTTACAGTTGGCACAATTCAGTCAGGCGGGTAATGTCCTGGCATTCACCAAACCCAAACTTGTCTATCAGACTGCCAGATAGAGAAGCGTGATTCATCACTCCACAGAATGTGTTTCCACTGCTCCAAATGTTATGTTGCAAGATTATAATAAATTATTGCAAGTTATAATAAATTGTGATAAATATATCATTATATTATATAATATAAAAATATATATTTTTTAACATAAAATTGTGTATATATATATATATATATATATATAACATTTTAACACTCCTAAACCTTGTGGAAAGCTTTCCCAGAAGAGTTGAAGCTGTTATAGCTGCAAAGGGTGGGCCGACATCATATTAAACCCTATGGATTAAGAATGGGATGTCACTCAAGTTCATATGCATGTGAAGGCAGACGAGCGAATACTTCTGGCAATATAGTGTATGTGTGTGTTCTCAAATTTTGATGCACCCTGTTTTTGAATTTGTGTCACAAGCAAGACATAACAAAGCTGAGCACTAACTAATAATATAATATTAATTGACACAAAATACTTATTTTTATATCTCTATGATGAGCCTCTAACCAATATCTATAGTAACACTCTGTATGCAGTTATGACCTTCCACTGAGAAACATGCCCCACTATTAAGCCATGCAGAAAACTGCACAGCAATCAAAACACTAGTAGACTACCTTATTTAGTGTGATTGTTAGATTAACAAGTTCCTTATAGCACAATATGTCACCATACAGCTCGCTAATGTCAGCATTAACAGCCTTTGCAAAAGCAGCCAGTTTGGCGTTACAATGTTTAACTGAACATTTCTAATTATGGTAAAGTGAGTCAAAGCATATGAAATGTAATATTGTTATTTACAGGCTGTGCTGAGGAATGGAAACTGTCAGGGAAATGATATATGAACAGCAGCAGAACCCAACAGTCACTCAGAACATCTCTCTGTATGCCTTAATTCACCAATTAAAATCAAGTAAATGTAATAAACCCTTTTGAATATAAATATTAAAACTGCTTACACAGTAGCAAGGTTTTTGTTGCCATCTGACAATGTTTTTTTCCCATTTGCACCTTTCCAACTTATCCTCTTGCCAACATTGTCAGAAAAAATATGTGAAAGGATGTTCCATGTTACGTGTTTTGTGTCGTGCCCCCCGATAGATGCTAGAGAGGATATCTAAAAGACAAAAGTTGTGGATTAAAGTACAAGATATTCTTTCTAAAATATCAGTACTTTTAATTACAAAGTTTAACTGAACTGGTTCAGCAAAAGTAGACATCAGGTTAAGTATGATGAATAAGTTTCATGCTGTATTGCACTGTATGAGTAACATGAGCCAATGATCATAATTTGAGATCTACCTGATTCCACCATGCATTTGTAGGGGTAAGCGATATGGCAAATATATTATATTTTGATACTTGCAATACCAGATATGTATGCATCACAATATTTTAGAATCTGTAGTATTACATATAAAAATACTATTATAATAATTACATACCTACAGCTAAAGTCATTTATTTTATTCACTGTTTTACAAAACTGCACTGAACTAAATCAATTAAACAGGCCTAATTATATTCACTTTGTAAGGAAACATGTAAATAGTCAGGGATCTATAATTACTGAAGATGTCCACAATATGCTTCGAAAAGTGTATTTATACTTTTCAGCAAACCTGGCCATCCTATTTCTGTGGCTAACTAGTGGATTGCATCTTGCCATGTAGCCTCTGTATATCTATTCTAAAGTCTTGTGCAGACAATAATCATTGTTAAATACACACAAATCCACAGGGATATGTGGATTTTTCTTCATTATGATGAGAATTCTCATCAGAATGTAATAAGCTACCAGTCTCTTTGTGGTTACTCTCTTTATTCTAAGTAATGTTCCACACAGTTGTTTTTGGTACGTTTTTGGTCTTAGGTTTGGCCGATGTCTCTTACTGTTTTATTCCTGTTTCTCAGCTTTCTAATGGTTTCCTTAACTTTCATTGGCACAACTGTGGATGAAAACCCTCGATTCAAAACATAGATGGATAGATAGATAGATAGAGAATTACAGAACGATAGATAGATAGATAGACCAACAGACAGACAGGCAGGTAGATAGATAGACAGACAGACAGACAGAGACTTGTAGAACGATAGATAGAGAGAGAGAGATAGACAGACAGATAGACAGACAGAGAGAGAGATAGATAGACAGAGATAGAGAATTGCAGAACAATAGATAGATAGATAGATAAATAGATAGATAGATAGATAGATAGATAGACAAGTACAAAATGATTAAAAAAAAATAGGTCTGTGGAGGGACTGAAACAAATCTATGCAATGGCTGGAGAGCAGAATCAGGAACCAAACCTAGGTTATTCAAAGTAGCTCACAAGATTTTTTTAAAAGAAAGTCTTGTAATTCTTAATAACAAATTGGTTAGGTGCTTTTACACAGTGCTGTATAAGGATACAATGACAATTTAAAAAGATCCTATTTTTTTCTCTCTGATTGCATGCCTTCTTGGCCAAAGAAAGACAAAACATGATACAAAATTAAATTTATCTTAGCTTATTTAAATACTTTGTATATGAAACTTTTCTTGTAGGATATTTCATGTAAACAATATGCATGTTTTTGTTGTTTAAGTTTTTTGACTACTAAATTTATTTTACTTGACTTCATAAATTTAGTTTCCATTTTTATGAATGCAAAATTGTTCTTTCGTCTTCAGTTTGTGCAGCCTCTGACCAAATCAGAGCTGTGATGTTTTTTTGCCATATCACACTCCCTCTTGTGCTCTATTGGTTAATAACTCTCCTGCCGTTCGGCTACAGCAAATGAGTTACCAGTGTAAAGCCCACTTTTGCAGCCCCACTATACTTGATCAGTATAGTGGTATACTTATACCAGTGGAAATTCCATTGTATTTGGCAGTATTTCTACTTGCTCAACTGGATCACATTTACTCAAGAGATAATTTACTTTAGAAATTAACTGGTCTTGTTAGTGCTTCAAATACTCCAGTAATGATAATATATGCAATTCTGCAGCTGCAAAAACAGTTTACAATAAAAATGAACATTTCCTGTTTACTGGTGAACTACATATAGGTGACACTATGCCTGGGCAATATCTAAAAAACTAAAATTAGCATAAAAAATGTCTTTTCTAAATGTTTTCAAAATGATTCTAAAATGTTCTAGACTTCAGTATGTTTAAAGGGGAATTCCACATATTTTTCAAATTTTCTGCATAATTCAATCACTGAGATGTATGAAAAATTCATTCAAAGTGCCCTGTAACCTGCCGACTGAGAGCTGTTCACAGTGGTGGAGATAGGAACTAGGCACTTGAAGAGTTTAATACCTTTTAAAATCTCCGTTTATGAACACACTTGCTGATGTCTATGACATTGTTTTATGATCATTTTAAAAATGTTTTGGCCTAAACTGTATTTTCTAACACCTTCATGGCACAGTGGTACATGCAGGGAGTCATAAATTAAATTAGTCCTCAAAGAAAACCTGACACCTGTAGGTTCAGTGGTGGTCTTGGATAATAAATAAAATGGCTATATTTGTGTTGTAGACATTGTGAGCCCTGGTGCCTATCACCACCAACCACTCAACCATTTCACATCAAACCACTATGTTTACACCTCAACCACTGAATTATAGAGGAATTTTGAAAAATTGGTTGAATTATCCTTTAAAAAACAATGCATTTTCCATTGTTATAACAAAAGGGCTTTGGTGGAGTTACTATGCTAAAATTACATATATTAGGTATTACACTCAACCCAACTATCTTAAGCTGTAAGTAATACTCACTAGAGCAGGGAATACTGTCCTGACCGCACCCCCCTTCCAGACAGGTCTGTACAGGCTTGCAGTAGGGGGCTGCTTGGGTATTGGTGCTGAATGACTTCTATTTGGAACCTGTACAAGAGCACAAAGTTTCACTGTGTGGTGCAAGGATTTGCATAAAGTTACAACTCATACAAAATGACAACTCACATTTCAACAGTTTTGAAAAATCACAAGTATGAAAAAAAAAGCAAAAAATTGAAGCCCAAAAATAAATAAATAATTAAAAATGTTACAAACCCATGTACAGGGAGGCTCTGGAGTAGTGCATAGCATCGGCAGGGGAGACGGGAGGAAGAGGTACAGCACTGCTGCTTGGAGGAGGGGGTATGACAGGAGGTGAAAGGTTGTTCTCAGATTGGAGTTTCTGTGAACCTTTGGCTCTCTTTTTTGGTAACACTTCCTCCTCGCTGTCATTGTCCGTGTCTCCAAAAAAATGACTGAGAGTGGGAGAAGAATATTAAAGAAATCGGCTAGGCTGGCTTTATGCAATGAAATTTTCACAAGAATTTGATTAGTTGAAATTTAAACGAAACTTGTGTCACTTGTGTTGCATAATGTAAAGCCTCACACAACTCACTTAAAACCATTTTGAAACTCAGCCACAACAATAGGTTGCTGTTATCACAACCGTTTTGGCTGGTATCATCTAGAATATTTAACATATTAGGACTGCTCTCATACTGCAAATGTAATAGTGATACTTGGAAAAATAACAAAAGGCAATATAAATAAATATGCAAAGGTAAACATGTTGCATCAAATTTTAATTAGCGAGCAAACTAAGTAGCTACTAATCTTGGAAACTAGTAGAATAATTCAGTGTACTGGTCTATTTTATTTAGGTTTGTGTAACTGCCAAGTTCACCACAACCCAGAAGGATAAGCAGCTTAGATGATGAGTAAGTGACTGAGTGAGTAACTGTCAAGTTGCACAGAAATGATGCTTAATACAACTTGCAACCTACATCTAGTTGTGTGAAAGTTTCAAAGTGTAAAGCCAGCCTCAGTTTTAATGAAAAAATATTTTCTTGGAATAGCTTACTGCATGATTTAAGAATTCTGACATCATGTTTTTCCCAGTCTGATCCAGGTTCCTCTGCATTCTTCACTGCTCTTTCTATACGATTATCACTTTTGTAATTTGGCCAATAGGTGACCCCATCAGCATACCAGCTTTTGGGCACCACTGCCACTGTTTTGCTGTTTAGGAATTGAATTAACAGGAACATGTAGAAATCTAGAATTACAAAGATAGATGCCACAAATGGAGAAATATTTTATGTTAAAGATCAGGCATCTTTTACTGACAAATTTATCATCAGTGCAGATAAAAAAAAATTAAGCTCAAATTTAAGTTGCAATTTTTTCTTATATTCACATAAAATTACATACTTGTATACCTAATTTTTCAACCATTGGCTGTAAAAATTTGTTCTCTGATGTGACATCAACAAAATGTTTAGTACAGGTGCCTGTCACAAGCCAAGCATTTGTAAACCATAATAGCTTTAAACTTTTACTTTATTTAAAACTGCACTAGGTATGACTGTTTTGTTAAAATTAGAAGAAGTAGCATTATTGAGTCAAATTAAAACGTTAAAATATGGTGTACATGCACTGCTGCGTAGCATGTTTATTGCAGTAAATCATTTTTACTGGATTACTGAGCTCAACTAAAAAAAAAAATTCTTGAAAGTCCCACCTTCCAGTCTCAATTTTGCTTGGTTCTTCCTTTCAGATTGTAGGTTAGCACTCCATGCAATTTAGGGAGAGTGGATACTTTCTTTTTGCTATAAGCGTCCCAGGGTTATCCACAAAGGGTCAGAGTGGGTGCAGGTTTTTGTTCCAAACAAGAGGAAGACACCTGATTCTAATAGTTTAATCAGTCAGTCTCTGTCTTTAAACAACTGATCATGTGAGCTCTTTCTTTGTTGCAGTGAAAACCTGCAGCCACACCAGCCCTTTGCAAGTAAGACTGGACACCCTTGCATTACTGCTTCTGTTAATTAAAGCGTATACACCTCGAACCTTTACAACCAATTCAAATTTTGTTAGTTGCAGCATAATTTGACTATGAAATCTAACTACTGTGGCAAATTATTTAAGTCATTTCAAAAAACTGAGATCTTCTCAAATAATTGAGATTAGGTGACTGAATATCTCTGGGATGAGTTGGAGTGATCCAACTAATGCTAATTCACTTGTGGCTGAATGCAAACAAATCTTCACAGCAATGTTCCGTCATCTGTAAAGACTTTCCCAGAAGAGTAGAGGCTGATATTGCAGCGAAGGCTGGAACAAGCTCCCTATTAATACCACTAATTTAAAAATAAACATTGGACAACCATGTGTCTACATATTTCTGCATATGTATTTTACTTGTATTTGTCACTGCGAACACAAAAATGGAGCATCATGGCAAACGCCCTTTGGAACGGCAAACTACCCTGAGGTAAAACTTAAAATAGTTGTGTAAAAATTATATTACTCTCACCTTAACAATGATGTGGTTACCAATAACCTCACTGTGATGCAGTTTTATGACTAGATTACCTGTTGTTAAGAAAATAAAGCACACAGGACAAATTAATTTTGGACACTCCATATGATGGTCCTGATGATGAAATGGCAATAAATAGTTTACAGAAGAGGTTGTTCCCCACACCCAAAACATTTTAACATTTAACACTAATACTAAGCATGAAAAACACTAAATATGTGCGGGGCAGGGGATATAACTGAAATACGTTTGGGAACCACTGGATTAGCTTTAGATTTAGCACAAAAGCTACCTACACAATGAGTACTTACAGTGAAGTTTTATCCTGTTTCACATTTGATATCCTGTTTCACAGTAGCATGCAGTTGATGTAGTTGATGCAGTCAGTCTTTGTCATAGTATCTGATAGTCACTAAGTCATTTTGTATAACCCATCAACCCAAATCTAAATAAACCATATGCAAAGGACTAATTCTGAACTACAACAATTTTAGTGTACAAGACGTAAGATGTAAACACAGAATGTGTGCAGTCCCAGGGACCCTCTTCTCTGCACAGTATTATACTTGCCCTGTTCTAACACACTGATCAGGCATAACATTATGACCATCTCTATGTTTCTACGCTCCTTATCCATTTTATCAGCTCCACTTTCTATATAGGTGCACTTTGTAGTTCTACAGTTACAGACTGTAGTCCTACAGTTACAGACTGTAGTCCTACAGTTACAGACTGTAGTCCATCTGTTTCTCTGCATACTTTGTTAGCACCCTTTTACCCTGTGCTTCAGTGGTCAGGACCCCCATGGACCCTCACAGAGCAGGTGGATCATTCTCAGTACTGCAGTAACACTGACGTGGTGGTGGTGTGTTAGTGTGTGTTGTGCTGGTGCGAGTGGATCAGACACAGCAGTGTTGCTGGAGGTTTTAAACATCTCAGTGTCTGTGGGCAGTGTCCTGTGACCACTGGTGAAGGACTAGAGGATGACCAACACAAACTGTGCAGCACCAGATGAGCTATCATCTCTGACTTTACATCTACAAGGTGGCCTGACAAGGTAGGAGTGTCTAATAGAGTGGACAGTGAGTGGACACAGTGTTTAAAAACTCCAGCAGCACTGCTGCATCTGATCCACTCTGACCAGCGCAACACACACTAACACACCACTACCACGTCAGTGTCACTGCAGTGTTGAGAATGATCCACCTGCTCTGTGAGGGTCCATGGGGTCCTGACCACTGAAGAACAGGGTAAAAGTATGCAGAGAAACAGATGGACTACAGTCTGTAATTGTAGAACTAGGTGTCCTTGGTGTCCTCAATTCCCAAACGATTACTGAACATTGTTGAAAGCTAAGGTTATGTAACACAGTAGCAAACATGCCCCTGTCCCACCTTTTTGGAACATGTTCAATGCATCAGATTTAGAATAAGCCTATATTTTTAAAAATATTGAGTAGGAAATTAAATCTTATCCTTACACTGTTTTCAAAATGAATACAGGTCTCAAAAGAACTGCACATCATTGCTGTGTTTTTATTACTGTCCCAATGTTTTTAGAATTGGCCTGTTGCTCAACAGACCTACTAGGTTACGGGTTCCCATTAAGCTGATGTACCTTTTCATTTCCAAACATTTCTAAATTTCAGGACTTTCTATCACAAAAATTCTATTTAACATTCTGTAAACAAAAAATTTAAGACGTACTTTGTCACATCTTAAGTACTGTTCATTTGTATCATTATTATCTTTTTATGTATGCCTTTGAATTAAATAATTAAAATACTACTAAAATACTAAGATAATAAAAACATCATTAACAAATAGGATTTTCTTACAGTTATATATTTCTCAATTTATTTATTACTTTACTATTTAATTTTATTAATACAATTTCCGTACCTATAGTTTTAACAATTGTTCACTTTCATTCAATTCATTGATTCATGTATTGATGAATTTGTTAATTTTTTTATTAATTCATTTTTTTCATTAATACATTTATTTATTTCTGTATTTCTTCATTCATGGGGGGCATGTTTTTCATGTTCCGGTTTAGCAATCAAGACCAGGAGGAGAAGAGTTGATTAAACTGTTCTTTCACCAACTCAATAAAGAGCTGCAATGCCACAGACAGACAAACCTGCCGATAAATTACTCTCAATGGCTTCCACAGGCCGTATGTGAGAAGGTGTGATCTGAATTTTGCTAAAAAGACAATGAACCACCTCCTCCAAAGTTCTGAACACTACAGGTTGACCTCCGTATCAGCAGATCAGCTAAATGGAGCAAACTGTCCCCACAGCCTCCGCTCAAAAGAGTCAGTAATCCGGACCTTCATTTTCAGCCAGATCAGCCAGGAGTCTCGGATCTCTGTCTGTCTGCTACCTGTAAGAAGCCATCATTGTACTGTCTTGTCCTTGGTTACCACTAAGAGAGCAAGACATATACAATTGATCTACAGAATCTGACATTGATCAACCAATGGGAATATTAACACGCTGTGACATCATTTACTGGCAGCCCCTTTATTAGCATAAAGACAAGGAAATACAGAAATGAATAAATAGAGAAATTAATAAATATAGAAATGAACAGTTATGGAAATAAATGAATAGAAAAACAAAAAAAATGTAAATACAGACATACTAATTAATATAAGATTTAGTAATATATTAATTGTTATGTATATTTTTTAGATTTTGCATCATTATTCTTTGCTATTCTACTTCATATATGAATTTACTAAGTCATTTATTTTTAATTTTATTTATTTTTCATTTAGCCAAACCTGGTACTCCATAGTGCTCATACTGGCTCTTAAAATGATGGCAGACACCGAAACATAGGACCAATTCTACAAGGCAACTTTTGACTCGCACATGAGTTACTGAGTGAGTAGACAAAACTAAACAACATGTTAGCGGTGTTGACTGACATGGAACACTACAAAGGCCTATATTAAAATTTATAACACAAGTATTTTTTGACAATAGTAGTGCAATGAAAAAAAGTGGTTGAATTTACATGATTCAGAAGAGCATACTGGTTACACATAACTGAAATATGTTAAATCAATTTAATATAATTGATTACTTACAGTAATTATGTTGATGTAACATTTCATTCATGCAGAGCCAATGTACACATTTGAATCATGTAAATTTAAAACAACCTTTCATCACCCTTTTTTTCAGTGTAGGTGATATACGAGTTTGAATTCTTTAAGGTATTCATTTCACTAGCAAAAAGCCATATAACACAACGTACAAACAGTGTAAAACACACTAACAGGAGTGTCTTACCAGAACTGTTGAGCCAGGCTTGATTCAGTGTAGGTCAGTATGCCAAGAGACAGCCCAATCAATACTGAAGTAAGGTTAGTTGCTGAGGCTGTTTGAAGGCTGAGACGTGTGGAAAAGACCAGAGGACACCAGTTAAAATCAGCAATACTGGTCTTATTCACCTGATGCAGTCTGAATAAACACTGCATTGCTTCAGACAGCTAGACAGCCAGGGTGATCATTTATTCACAAAAATAAATGTAACTGAGAGCATGCAAGCTAGCTAATACCAATCAGCAACCAATAAACTAATACAATAGTCAATGAATAAAGTCTTAGCTAACGCTAAAAACCCAAAACTTCTGGTGACATACAGCTAACGTTTGCTAAGAAACATGAGAACATCACTGCACAGCACACCAGCTAAAGTTAGCAGATGTAACGTTAGCTAACGTTAGCTATTAGCTAGCTGATCAGTTATTAGTCAAGGAAATGTTGGCCAAACGTGTGGATTTTTCTTTACCAAGTGTTCAAATTGGTAAACAATAAGTTAACAATAAAAATAACACTAACTAGTTATTAGTCTATAAATAGTACACGTTTACAAGTACAAGGCTACTAACTTTAGCTAGCTAACGTGGCTAGCTAGCTATTTTTTTCCCCCAAATAGGCTGTAATATGAGTCTGCTAGCCTAGCGTTACCTCGAAAATGAACTGCCGGAGATGTTAAGGATAGCTTTAAAAACAAGAAAAACACGTTTCAGGCAGTGCTGATCATATAGATACCTAAAAGTTACATGTTTATATAAATAAAATTGCAAGCAGTACTCACCAAAGATGACTGAAAACCATTAGCAGTGGGCGACCGTTAAACCGAAGAAGTTCAAATTTCAAATGAAACATCTCCTCCGTGCAAGATGCGGCTGTGAATCAGTGCATACGTCACAGTGAATCGACTCGCGAACCGAAACCGAATTGGAGCTGGGCCGAATACGCTAAACGGAGGTTACTGTGACACGGATCTGCCGTAGGAAAAGCGGATCCGGAACGGAGTCCGCTGCTATCTGGGATATTATCTATAATACTGAAAAGTCAAAGCAATGAAACAACGAAAACACACTTTGAAATCATGTTAACATTAACCTAACATGCCAAAAAGGCAGGTATCGATAGCTGTTTAATCCTCAAATAGTAGCGAATTTGACTTTAAAATATATCATATTGTTGTAACTACACACACACGTTGGTTTTCTATATAAATATTGTAAATCAGTGCATTTATTGACTTTAAAGTACCAAAAGACGCAGTTCTGTTGCTGAGTGTTTATGGGTTTAAACTGCCCGCAAAGAACTTCCTGGAACTATCTGAAGTCTACGTGAATCATGTGACCATCAAGCATTTTGAACTTCCGTTGACGGGACTCTCTTTCTACATGTCTCTGCATCACAGCAGTGGCTGTGGCCAATCGCGAAGAGAAACCGTGGCGGTGCAGTACATAGCTGCAGTGATTGACAGCGAACGAAGATCGCTCCAAAGAGACAGCAGGAAGAGATTAGCGAAGAGGAAGGACGTCTTACCTCAACCGACGGAGCAGCAGCTTCACCCGATGCAACCAAGAACAACGTGTGCAACGTGCTTCAGGCTTTCATGCTCAAACAGCGGAGCAAAGACGAACGGTGGCAGCGCGAAGCAGCGAGACAGGAACAACACTGGCGTTTAATGCAGCACCAGTTCAGCCTGCTCCAGGAACAAGTGCAGAGAAGTCAGGTGGAGAGACAAGCTGAGCGCGGTGGGGAGAACGAGGAAACCTCTAGAGAACGGAAGACGCAAATACTGAGGCGTACGCCGGTGGAAAGCATGTCAGCCAGACCGGCAATGCAAACGCCCGTAGTAACGAGTTGGCCAGCACCAAATATGCCAACGCTCAAAGACACAGACAACGTTGAGAACATTTAGTCCCACTTCTCGAGGGCAAATGTTGCTATGGATGCGGAGGAAGCCTTGGACTACAGAAAGGTAAAAGAAGCAATTCTGCGAAAATAAGGAAACGGACCGGCAGAGATTCAGGAGTGAGGAAGTATGCGACGGCGAAACGCCTAAATAACTTTACACCCACTTAAAAGGACTTCATTAAAAGTGGATGGAGAAAAAAAACAAAGAGTAGATAGGAGACACGATCATCTTAGAACAGTACCTGCAGATGATCAACCCAGATCTGCGAAGCTGGATTCTAGAGCATAGCCCTGCATCTACCCTCCAGGCGGTCGAGCTGGCGGAGGCCTACGTTCAGCAAGATAAGCAGAAGGAACATTTGAATTGGGCAAATGCAGCACAGAGAGGCACCAACACAGACAGTCCGGTGAGTTTGGGGGCGGAGCTCGGGGTGGTTTGATGCCGCAGTACTTCAAATCAGCCACAAGAGGCTCTTACACCTCATATGCCAAATATAAAGACAGGGCAGGCAGCAGCTCCAAAACATACACTGAAAAAATGCTCAGATGTTTTAATTGCAATGAACTTGCATGCCCAAAATTAAACAGCAGTTCTAGCCATTTATACTACAGCCCTAAAAGCCACAGCTTGTACCAAAATAGAGACGCTAAGGACATCTTTTTAAATGTATATGTTGCCGGCCTCAGGCCTAGGGGAACCTGAGCCGTGCACAATATGGAATCATAGCAGCAAATGGCTGTATGATGGCGGGAGATGGTCGAGAATGATCTCTCTCTCTCTCTCTCTCTCTCTCCCTCTCTCTCTCTCTCTCTCTCTCTCTCTAAAACGACAAGGAAAACCAACACAAAAATGAATGTGTCGTCAGCCTGCGGGGCAAGGTTTATTCTGAACCTTTTATCCACACAGAAATTACTTCTGTATGTTCAGTGCTGTTAAATATACAAAATCGTTCATAACTCCAGAAAATGCATTTCCACATTACATTCACATCTGAAGTCTAGGCTATATTCATCTTAATTCCCTTAAGTTTGAGAACCTCTATGTTGAAATTAAGACTGTAATACAATTATCTCCATATCACTGTTTCAAATAAACAACAGAAAACAGATTGCTTTTGGCAATAAAGCTGATATTGCATTTCTAAGGCTGAGCTATTTTCTTTACTAAGAGCAAATATTCAGAACACACATCACAATAGTAAAAGCTTAGTACAAAGAACCTCGTTGTTTTCATGGGCGCCGCCATTCCAGAACAAGCTGCTAAAAGATAGCTAATACGGAAAGTAAACGTTGCTTCACAGATGCACAAAATGACTAAAAGAAACTACTTTCTAAACAATATATCTGATGTTGCTAGTACATACTTGGGATTTTCAGCAGAACACAGAATTACAGAAAATATAGATGAAAAACAGAGTTTGTTTCTGCTACGTAAAACGCTAGAACAACTCCTTTGTTAAGCTCAGCTGGCACTCGCGTTTCTCACGTTACCACATACGCTCGATAAAACTTCACAAAAACACACCTTATGTGAACTATGGTATGAGACAATGCTTCCTGAATGTTTTAGCATACAATTGAACTACTTCAAATGTATAAAAGAGTGTTTCGTACCTCTAAAACGACAAGGAAAACCAACACAAAAATGAATGTGTCGTCAGCCTGCGGGGCAAGGTTTATTCTGAACCTTTTATCCACACAGCCCGTTTTCCTGTCGGTTCAGCCTAAGAGCGCCCTCTACTGGGTGAAATAAATATAACTACTTTGTCTTAAAAGACAATGATTTGACATCCTCAGCACTGTCACAAAAAATACGGTGTACTAATGTTCACAATAAACAAAATGTAATAAAATCAAGTCAACTACATAAATAACAAAAAAAATGTGAGGGTCCCTATTTTACTGGAACTAATAAACCCTTTTATTTTTCAGTCCTCTACACTCTCCCCTACTTTTTTAAGATGGCTCCGGACATCTTACACTAGAGTCAAGTTTACAGGACCCAAGCCATTGCCTGAGGATAGAAACAAAAGTCCGGTGACGCTGTGTAAGCTACCCTAGTTGGGATAGTACATACAGCATTTACTCCCAGTGTCCATGGCCGATAAGAGGGTTGACCAAGATTTTGATATGTGAATAGTTCTTTTGGTCTTACAGTCCGTGTAGACCTTCGCAAGACAGGTTCTTCTTCCGCTCTTCCTCTCACCTCACACTCATCATAGACCTCTGTTGTCATTTCAGGTACATTTTCATTCGGTTCAACAGGTTCTTGAGTTCCTTCTATTTCTGGCTCTAGTTCTACTTGTGCTGTTGCTTGTGGCTGTTCAGATCCCAGTTGAAGCTGCTGGGACTCTTGGGTCACTGCCTCAGGTGTGAAGCATGGCTCCCTCTGGACAGTTTCAGGGCTAGTAGCTACTGACAGGCGACACAAGGGACTTGACAGGTATGAGATTTCATCATCGTCAGAATCATCAGAGTCATGCTCATCCCTAGCACTGCGTGTTTGTGTCTTTGCAGGTACAGTCCTTTCAGTGGGTCTACTGCAGAAGTTGTCTTCAAGAGGTAGGTCATTCACAGGTAAGAGAAGGTTTCGGTGTAGAACACGGATGGTTTTGTCTCCAACCTCCGCTTGAACTCTGTACACTGGACTTGAGGCTTCTCCCACTTTGTTCACTACCCGGTGTACCTTCCTCTCCCAGTAAGGACGAAGTTTGCCTGGTCCACCTCTTTCAGATAGATTTCTGACAAGCACCCTGTCACCTGGCTGGAGAAGGACGCCTCTTACCCCTTTGTCATAGTACCTTTTTCCTTTTGCCGATGACTTTTGACTGTTCTCAGAAGCAATTCTGTATGCTTCCTGCATTCTTGTGCCCCATTTCTGTGCGAAAGTCTGTCTTGTGTATGTCTCATTGTCTGGGTTCAGTCCAAGAAGTAAGTCGACAGGTAGGCGGGGGTTTCTGCCATAAAGTAAAAAAAACGGGGAATATCCAGTAGCCTCATGCCTTGTGCAGTTATATGCATGAACAATCTGCTGTAGGTGATCTTTCCACCCTGCCTTTTTCTCTTCATGCAGCGTCCGAAGCATCTGCAACAGTGTTCGATTTAGTCTCTCCACAGGATTTCCCTGTGGATGATAGGGCGTGGTACGAGAGTGAGATATTCCAGCCAACTGTTCCAGTTTCCGGAATAAACTGTTCTCAAATTCCCGTCCCTGGTCATGGTGCAGTCTCTCTGGATATCCAAAGCGAGGGATAAAGTCGTGGAATATTTTTTCAGCCGCCGTTTTACCTGACTTATTCTTTGTTGCATAAGCCTGCGCAAAACGCGTGAAATGATCAATCAATACTAGTATGTATTGATAGCCTCCCTTGCTGGGCTCAAGGTGGAGGTAATCAACAGCAACTAATTCAAATGGTGCAGTGGTTGTGATGGACCCCATGGGTGCCTTCTCAGGAATAGTGGGATGTTTCTGCTATACACAATCACATTTTCGGATTACGTAATCTTCAATCTCGCGCTGCATGAATGGCCAGTAGAACCGGTCTCTTGCTAGGTGAATCACTTTGTCAGCGCCTACGTGTCCCATGTCATTATGTAATGTCCTTAGCACCTCTGGTTTTAGTTTACTTGGCAAGACTAGTTGTTTGCGAGTCCCTGTCTGTCTGAAAAGAATTCCTTGGTCAATTGTGAGCTTGTTCCACTCCTGTATGAGTCTCTTTGTGTCTCGTCCCATTGTTTCTTTGTCCTTTCTATTTGGCTTCCAATTCCTTTCTTTCAATTTCATAACCTCCCTGATTGTCACATCCTCTTGCTGGGCGGCTTTGATGTCTCTGGGCATGACTGAGGACACACATCCCAAGAATAAGTCTTCATCTTTGGAAGCAAACAGCATTGCAGCAGCCCATGGCACCTCCTCATCCTTAACCGCCTTGCTCCCCTGCAGTACAGCTGAGACCATTTCTGGTGACATAGCCTCAGTGTACTCATTCACATCGTCACTAAGAGCAATAGGATAACGGGAAAGGGTGTCTGCATCAACATTCATCCTTCCTGGCCTGTATTTTACATCAAAATGGAAGTCAGCCAGCTCCCCCACCCAACGATGACCTACTGCATTAAGTCTTGCTGTACTCAGAACATAGGTTAGGGGGTTGTTATCAGTAAACACAGTGAAGGTAGGTGCATAATATAGGTAGTCCCTGAACTTATCGCAAATTGCCCACTTGAGGGCTAAAAACTCCAGTTTGCCAGAGTGCAAGTGATATTTCTTTTCAGCTGGACTAAGTGTTCGGGACCCATACCCAATCACTCGCAGTTTACCTCCCTGCTGCTGGTAAAGTACAGCACCTAACCCCTCACTGGATGCATCAGTGTGCAGCACAAAAGGTAGGTCAAAGTCGGGGTATGCTAGGATGGGGGGACTGGTTAACATGTCCACCAATTTTGCCACCACCGCTTGGTGTTCAGCTGTCCATGTGACCGGTGTTTTCGAGGGTAGCTGCCCAGGAGCTTTGCTGTTGGCTCTGTTGTTTCTGGACCTTACTACAAGACCCGTGGATTCATCTGCCCTTTGAAGAAGTTTGAAGAGAGGACTGGCCAATCTTGAGAAATCCTGAATAAAGGAGCGATAATAGCTTAAGAAACCTACAAGTGCTCTGACTTCTCCAACTGTTGTGGGAACCTTCTCTTTCAACTGCAGAACTGCCTCTAAATCTTTAGGGTCAATTTGAACCCCATCACTGGAAACCAAACGGCCTACGTATCTTACTTGTTGTTTAAATAATTCACATTTCTTTGGTCGCAGTTTTATTCCATGCTCACGCATCTGCCTAAATACACGTCTGAGATCTTCCACGTGCTCGCCAAATGTTTTAGAAAAACAAAGCACATCGTCTAAATATGGGTAGCAGCACTCATCTCGCAAACCCTCCAGTACCCCCTCCATGCACCTCTGGAAAGCTGCTGGTGCGTTAGTTAGGCCAAAGGGGACGCGCACCCACTCGTATAATCCCCAGGGGGTGCTAAAGGCTGTGAACTGCTGCGAGTTTTCCTCCACGAAACCCTGGTGGTATGCACTGCCTTGGTCTAGGATTGAAAACCAAGCATATCCCCCTAAGTTATCAAGCAGGTCCTGAATGCGGGGCAAAGGGTGCCGATCTGGGACTGTTTTGCGATTAAGTTCTCTAAAGTCCACACAAAGGCGCAAACTTGAGTCCTTCTTCCTGACACACACGATTGGGGATGAGTATGGTGAGACAGACTTCTTGATCCAGCCACGTTCTAACAGGTTTCGCACATATTCCTTGACTTCCTTATATAAAGGCTTTGGAATAGTGTTGTAACTTTTCTGAACCGGTGTTTCATCCTTTAGGCTGATCTTTAATTTCAGGCTTGGGATACATCCAATGTCATTATCGTCCTGGGCGAAAATATCTGATTCTTCATACAACATGCGTCTGACAGCCTCTTGCTCAACTTCCTGAAGATGGGACAGGTCAACAGGTGGGTTCCATTTCTCCCTAGTATTGACTCTCTCCCTACTTTTGTCAGTAGCCACTTCGGCTGAGTTTGCTTGGGCATCGGCTAACTGAGTCACTGGTCCTGAAACATGCTTCTGCCTGAACATGGGTATAAGGTCAGCAATTTCCTCCAGTCTACCCAACACTGTTCTCTGAGTGAGGTAGATGTTGTGCTGGGTGGAGTTTTGAATGGGGATTTTGACAATCTTAGTAGAACCAGCAGGAACATCAACAATAGCTGGAAATACTTCTAAACCATCTGGACAGTGGTTAACAGTTGCTGGTTCAAAGGACATGGTTCCCCCCTTATGACAACATCTAACTCTACATCTGATTTCATTTATCTGGCCAGCCAGAATAACAAGCCCTCTCTTTCCCACTTTCACAAGGTGGCCAGGTTGTGGTGTTTCCAACGGTTTCACTTTGGCCACAGACACAATTGCCTCCACAGTATTTTTTTTTAGATTTAACACCTCACTGAGCAGTGCACTGAGACTGATTGTCTCTGTCTGCTTGTCATTTTCCCAAATAATCTCTTCAATGACATTAAATCCAAGGAGTGGGCAGTTAACACCGCTCTGACTTACCAACAATGGCACCTGAATTGCTAACCGACCATGTCTTTCACTTAGAAGTTCCAGAGACACATCTACCCATCCATCAAATGGGACTTCAGTGCCATTGGCGGCAGCGACATGGAATGATCCATCATGGAGCAGACTGTCAAGGGGTTGGATCTTAATGTCAGGGAGTTCCCTCTCTAACCATTCTCTACTCACAATGCTGACTTGAGCTCCCGTGTCTAATAACATATGCGTTTGAACCCCACTGATTAAACAGGAGACCATACATCGGCTCCCGATGAGTTGTGCCACGAGGTTTCTTTTAGGGAACCCAGCTTGAGTGGTGCCACCTGCTGGTGGTTTTATTTTACTGCGACTAGGACTGGAATGGGACGATTGGTTGCTGTAGGTCACTGGCTGTCCCTTTCCAGTGACCTCACCCAGTTTCCCGACCCAGACTGCTTAAAACACCCCACAGCCCTATGTCCGGCTTGGCCGCAGAGGAAACAATGGACACATTTTTCTCTTCCCTGTTGAATACATTCCTGACACTTCCTCTTCACGGTAACCTTCGGTGGCTGGATTTTAGGAGCGGACTGTGGGTGAGTAGCAGGCATCTCACTACCATTTGAGGTCACCACTTTCTCTAGACTTTTAGTTAGTGCTGACACTTGAGCTGTCAGCTGCATGATAGCAGTGCGGTTGGCTTGTAACTCACTATCGACCTGTGTTAATTTAGTCTGATTAATCTGGTCAGTGTTAACCTCCTGAGCTGAACTAACAGTCACTGGTCTCTGTTTCCCTGCGGAAGTCAAGCGTTTTTGTCTTTCTGCCTCCTCTGTTGCAGATTTAGTTATCTGTTCTAAGATGAAATCATCTGTCACTTGTGGATCAGTAAGGTAGGGTTTTATGTCACATCTAATGTTGTTGCTTTTTTCATTTAGACCCTGATACAGTGTATGGAGAAACACACCTTGAACTAGCCTTCTGTCATAATTGAACTCAGAGCTACACTGCTGTGACGCCAGTAGTACACGTTGCTTGAGACCCATTATTCGGTATACGAACTGTTGAGGTGTCTCCCTCTCATTCTGTTTAGCATTGCTCAACTCCTGAAAGAGCTCAGTACTACTTTTGTCTCGAATATGAGATCTCAGTAGGCGCTTTAACCCATCAACTGTAAGGTCAACCTTATCTGTCAGAAACTCTTTGAAAGTACCTGGTTTTGTGACTCTCAGTACAGACCTAATAACTTCTGACTCTGTGAATCCCTCCTTCAGACCCTCATCTATCTGTTTACAAATACTATTGTAAATGATTTCAGATCCTGAGTCTGATATCTGGCCCCCCTGAATTTTCAACTCTCTACGGGGCAGAAAAGCTGCTACTTCAGTAAGTCTTACCACCTGATCTGACCCCACTGATGATGTACTTCTCCTACCCACAGGAACGGAGTCTCTACCAGCTGACACATGCATCACAGTGTCTCTGTCCATGTTAGCTGACATGCTGATGAGGGCAGCAGATGTGCAGGTGCCTTGTGTTGCCACTGGCATATCTGGAGATGTGTTGTCACCTTGAACTGGGGTCGCATTTAGCTGTGCCGTTGTTCCTTTGCCTTGCGATGTCAGTGTGCTTTCACTTGCCACTTGGGTTGCGTCATTACTTGCTATGAGTTCGCTAATCATGTCACAGAGGAGGAGCAAGCATGACATGCCCTCATCCTCCAGACTCTGCAACTTCTCACTTTTGACATAGTCCGTGATGTAGTAATACAGTTCTGGTTCACTGAGTGTAGACACATTTAGAGCCTCCTCTGTTTGTTCACTCTCTAAGGCTGCCGCAAGGGTTCGCAGCTGTCTCAGATTCAGTGTAGGCAATCTTTTGTGAATGTCCCAGATAAGCGTCTGACGTGGTTTGGATGTTGCCATTGTCCTTGTTGCCTGAAGTCTTGACTCTCTGGATTACTTATTTGCAGAAGCTCTCCCTGAAGCGTCGACAACAGGATCATTCAGGTGCAGTGGCGGCTGTCCCCACCAGGTGGCGCTATCCCGGACGAGCCCCCAATTGTTGCCGGCCTCAGGCCTAGGGGAACCTGAGCCGTGCACAATATGGAATCATAGCAGCAAATGGCTGTATGATGGCGGGAGATGGTCGAGAATGATCTCTCTCTCTCTCTCTCTCTCCCTCTCTCTCTCTCTCTCTCTCTAAAACGACAAGGAAAACCAACACAAAAATGAATGTGTCGTCAGCCTGCGGGGCAAGGTTTATTCTGAACCTTTTATCCACACAGAAATTACTTCTGTATGTTCAGTGCTGTTAAATATACAAAATCGTTCATAACTCCAGAAAATGCATTTCCACATTACATTCACATCTGAAGTCTAGGCTATATTCATCTTAATTCCCTTAAGTTTGAGAACCTCTATATTGAAATTAAGACTGTAATACAATTATCTCCATATCACTGTTTCAAATAAACAACAGAAAACAGATTGCTTTTGGCAATAAAGCTGATATTGCATTTCTAAGGCTGAGCTATTTTCTTTACTAAGAGCAAATATTCAGAACACACATCACAATAGTAAAAGCTTAGTACAAAGAACCTCGTTGTTTTCATGGGCGCCGCCATTCCAGAACAAGCTGCTAAAAGATAGCTAATACGGAAAGTAAACGTTGCTTCACAGATGCACAAAATGACTAAAAGAAACTACTTTCTAAACAATATATCTGATGTTGCTAGTACATACTTGGGATTTTCAGCAGAACACAGAATTACAGAAAATATAGATGAAAAACAGAGTTTGTTTCTGCTACGTAAAAGGCTAGAACAACTCCTTTGTTAAGCTCAGCTGGCACTCGCGTTTCTCACGTTACCACATACGCTCGATAAAACTTCACAAAAACACACCTTATGTGAACTATGGTATGAGACAATGCTTCCTGAATGTTTTAGCATACAATTGAACTACTTCAAATGTATAAAAGAGTGTTTCGTACCTCTAAAACGACAAGGAAAACCAACACAAAAATGAATGTGTCGTCAGCCTGCGGGGCAAGGTTTATTCTGAACCTTTTATCCACACAGCCCGTTTTCCTGTCGGTTCAGCCTAAGAGCGCCCTCTACTGGGTGAAATAAATATAACTACTTTGTCTTAAAAGACAATGATTTGACATCCTCAGCACTGTCACAAAAATACGGTGTACTAATGTTCACAATAAACAAAATGTAATAAAATCAAGTCAACTACATAAATAACAAAAAAAATGTGAGGGTCCCTATTTTACTGGAACTAATAAACCCTTTTATTTTTCAGTCCTCTACATATACGTTAAATAGAGGAAACAAAAAGCTCTTATAGACACACAAGGGCCAGTCACACTTTAATTTTAGCCTCATGCCTACCTAAAAATGAGCTTAAACACACAGATCAACTGACAGTTAAGTGTGTCCATAGGGATGAGCAAGTATACACCACAGCTGAAATAAAGGTGGAAATAAATGGCCAAGTTTACTTACTGGCTGTTGGTGTATCAAAGTGCTCACCTTACTCAGTCATTTTGGGCAGAGATGTGCCAGTGTTAATAGACCTGTTAAGAAAAAAGCAGAGTGAAGCTGAGGTGATGGTCACTACTAGGGCAGGTTCTGAAAAAGCAGAATAGGACAGCACCAATAATTTTAAAGAATTTCCCTATGGTGAATCCTGCAAGAATAAAAAGACCAAACGTGAGAGAAGACAGGCTAAAATACAGGGCACCAAAGTACATGAACATGTCACAACCCCCGATGCCAACCTAAACGTTCCAACTTCTAACATAGCGCAATTACAAAGCCAAGACCCCACACTAAAATCTCTCTTTGCTAAGGCAGGACAAAAGGAGGAGCAGTTCTTTGTGTGGGACAGCATTTTATACAGGAAAAAGGGAGAGGTGGAACAGCTGGTAGTTCCTAAATGTATGAGGGCTGAAGTCTTAAAGCTTGGACACTCTGTGCCATGGGCAGGTCATATGGGGAATACAAAAACTTTTAATCACATATCCACCAGATTTTATTGGCCAGGGCAGCGCTTAGATGTTTTAAGTTACTGCAAATCATGCCCAGAATGTCAGCTTACAGCACCAATTAAAGAATCTGACAGAGCACCTTTAATAAACCTCCCTATAATGGAAGAACCATTCTCGCGCATTGCAATGGACATAGTAGGTCCACTTCCCCGTAGCAAAACTGGCAACAGATACATGTTAGTGCTTTGTGACTGTGCAACCAGATATCCTGAGGCTTTTGCACTTAAAAAGGTGAAAACATGGCAACTAGTAAACGCCTTAATTCAGCTTATCTCACGGGTAGTGGTCCCCATAGAAATTATAACAGTTCAAGGCACTAATTTCACCTCAAAGCAGTTTAAAGATGTTTTTAATTTATCAGGTATTCATAGCATCAAAACCACCCTGTACCATCCTAAGACAAGAGCCTGAAAACACTCCTCAGAAAGTTTGTGTGTGACACGGGTTCTGACTGGGACACCTGGCTTCCCATTATCCTGATCACATAACGGGAAGTGCCTCAAGTATCAAAAGGTTTCTCACCGTTCCAGTTGCTCTATGAAAGAGAAGTGCGAGGGCCACTGGACGTCTTGAAAGACACTGAAAAAAAGAAGTCAACGTCCTTTCCCATGTGCTGAAGATTCATGAAAAAATGGCTGGTGTGACTGCAATGATGAAGGAGAACTTTGAGCAAGTGCAGCAGTACCAGAAGAACTGGTATGACAAGGTGTCGAGGAACAGGATGCTTAAGTCAGGTGACAAGGCGTTAGTGCTACTACCAGTTCTGACACAACTGGCAAAGTGGCACAACCCATATGAAGTCATCCGCCAAGTGAACCAGACCACCTACGAGCGGACTACAAGAAGACCAAGCAGTCCTTTCACATGATCATGCTCCGTCAGTGGGGTGGGAATGGGAGCAAGAGACAGCGGAACATCTGTGGGTGGGAGCAGTCGGAGAGGAAGAGGAGTGCAATGAACAGTACCTCCCTTCTGGCAGTGAGCACAATGCAGTGACACTGGACCTGAACCACCTGAGCCCAGACCAACGGAAGGAGGTGCAAGCCATCATCCCCAGCGGTCTCTTCAGGGAGGAGCCCGGGAGGACGATGGCAGCGGCTCAACACAACATCAAACTGCTGAAGGACGAGCCCATCAGACAGACTAACAGCAGTGCGCATAACCAACGAATTGAACAACTTTAGGCAGATCTTAACAGGGCTGTGTTAGACCTATATAGACAGCTGTTTCAGTACATACGATGAGATGCATTTGTAGGCCCTACATTATGTGTTCCTTGAAAGCATGTTTGTCAGTCAGTGGAATTATCAAAGTCTCAGATTGCCAGGAGTCCAATATCCATATGGATGATGACTGAGGCCAAACCTTATATTTAAATGTAGACAGAAATATATGACATTGACTATGAAGGCACAAGTGTTTATCTTGAGACTGACACACAGGTCACCATAGTCCCAGACAGTACATTACATATAAACATCATAGATAGCCTAGTAAATATCTTCAAGCATTACTGGACCCCTTATCAGATGACTAAAAAATACAGCACTACTTGTTTTAGATGTCATCTCAACAACCATCTCTGTAAACTTGAATATTTCCAAGTTACACATGATACATAAATACAACTGTGTGTAAAATGTTTTACTACTGTCTGAAATGTTACTGACAAATAAAAACTCAAAACTAAAACTTAGTTCAGTTTTATTGAAAACATGGTGTATGTCTTATTCCAATTATTACAGTATACCTCTGACCTCTATATATTTTAACTCATTGTTTTCCTACATTGTAAACACTTGGAACTGTTGGAAAATGGAAAAATTAAGTAAAACATTTATTTTGTGTCTGAACTAACTTTCAGTTCTAAGATGTGGTAAATGCACCTCAAACCATTCAAACACTACTGATAGCTAGTGAGATAAAATAAAAAGAAAATTAATACTCACAAACTTTCCATTAAAATACATAAGTACAAAATGAGCTACAGAATCCGATTTTTCTGAAAATTCGAACCATTATCAAAAATGAATATAGATGTAAACAGAACTAGTGGTAATTTGGCAGGAGCAGAGCACAGACTTCAAACCTAAAATTTTTTCAAACCCAATTGAGCCTTTTACTGCTTCAGTTAGTAAACCTTTCCGGTTCTGCCTTTCCAGAAGAGCACCATGGAACAGGTTGATGCGTAAAGAAAACTTCGGCATCCATCCTGTTTTGCATAGAATGCAATCTCAGCTTTTTTAGAAAAGCCAAGTGGGGGGAAGTGATCCCGCTCCACTTATGAATGAAAGAAGATGCTTAAAAGTCAGCTGTGACTCTTTCTCTGTTGGTTAGACATTGACAGGTAATTAAAACAAAGCTTATTCAACCACATTACTCCAGATTCAAATGTGTGTACTGTTAACAGTGAAAACATAGTCAGGTCCATAAATATCTGGATGTCCACAAAATTATTTCAGTTGCCTAGGCACAGCATATTGGAGTTGAAACTGAACAATAAAAATGAGTTTCTGCTTTAATTTTTTGGGTATTTACATCCCAAATAAGTTGAACAGTTTAGGAATTACAACCATTTTTGCACAAGGCCCCTTAAACATAATAAGTTTGCTGATGTCCAAATATTTATGGACATGTATAAAGTATAAACTGTATGAAGTGACTGTATAAAGTAGCCCAACTCATTTGTGTACTTACTCTGAATGCTGTTGAGTAAACACTCCCAAGAGAAGATGGTTTCTTTCTCAGCCTCTGTGTTGTTGCTACTCTCTTCACTCCAATTGATCACAAGAAGGTCTTTAAACATACTTCTTGACAGCGGCTTCTACATGTTAGTGAACAGAGGCTTGAAGGCCTTCCAGTTTTGTTCCACTGTTTGCCACAATGACCCACATGAATTGATCCCAGCTTTGAACTGTGCAATCATGTTGGCAGGTCTGAAATAATATAAATCAAAGGACAAAAACAAAACAGGGAACAATGCTACACACAAACAGAGTAATGGATAAAATAATTTTTTAACAGCCAGATGTTCTATTACATCAGTGATGACTGATCTACATATATTAATGGAATGACTTTTTATGCACAGAACCAAAAACAAAATTACATATAAATGATTACCTGACCTGTCTCACCTTTTTTATTAATATTTAAGCAAAGTTAATAATAACCACATATGTAATGATAGTAACTATTATACTTTGCCTGTAATACTCCAGTTCTGGAGGGTTGCTGTTGAGCACAGTTTCCCTGCTCTAAACTAGGAATTTACAGATCAGCTGAATCACTTTCCATGGTTTTAGCAGGGATAATCACAAAACTGCTGGACAATGACCCTCCATCACTGGAGTTCAGTCCCCCTGTGCGATAAATATACCTGTTGTATTTTTAACTGCACTTCCTGATCTGGCAAGTCACAAAAGTCAAACTTTTCCAACTGTCCTTCCTGTCCACACATCATCAAGTACAATATAGCATGAAGGGCTTTAAGGCCAGGACCTCCATGCATAATGGACCAAGCTATCAGTTTTCCTTCTGTGTAAAATCTGTTCTGTTCTAGAGCTCTCTGGTTGTAAGAAAAGAAAATCTGGCCTTGTTTGCCTTCAAAAATTCCAAGAGATGACAGAACTTCACTCATTAGAAGCCTAACAAAAAGGAGAAAATATGTGTTAAAGTGCAGAAAATTTTAATTGTAAACATTTTCATTTACAGTAAAGTCTCAACTGGGCTATCTATCTATCTATCTATCGATCTATCGATCTATCGATCTACCAACCACAGTTACACATACTTGAGTGTCGAGATTTTCTTTCTGGAATGATGTCAGAATGTCAGCCAAGCCTGACATCTCCTAAAAAAGTTTAGAAATATATACTAACATTATTCTTCATCTTATTATTGTTGTTCTTGATGTCTAGAATATAATTTAAGGTAAAGTATTTAAGTATTTACTTACACTTTCCGAATTGGTGTTACTAACAGAGTGCAACATGACAGGTTGTTCTTCTTCTTTATCTGATAGTACAGTGAAGTCCTCCCTTCAAAAAATAAATAAATAAATAAATAAAAATATTCACTATGATGCATTTTTTTTCATGAAGTATATGTTACTACATATACAGTCTTCAAATATTTGTAATTACTTAGTCCTTTCTTGATGCATTGTTTGCTTAACTGAGGTTAAGATACATTGGTAAAGTCCTGGAATGAATGTTTTGTTACTACACATTCCTTTTTCTTTCACACTCTAATCACAAATAAGCAAAAAAATCTTGCCGATC